AATTAAATAGGTAGAGGAGGTAATAAAATAATTTATGAACACATGTCATTACCTAATATGGAAGTAAATATAAGTATCAGGGAGCGCAGACAACGGCTGATCCCTCCTTTCCATACAAATGTACACGTGTTTGTATACTAGCTTTCATCAACCGCCACTGCATTACTCTGCGTCTGCTTTTCTTCCTTTCTCTGTTATTGTGTTGATGTTTCCTTTGGGTGCTGGTCCGATCCCTAGCCTACTCTTATCAGAAATATTACCTGGTCGTGTTAGGGCAAAGGTTATATAGCAGTTTGCATGGCTGTTCATTGGGTAATTTTCTTTAACTTTATTTTTCCTAAAAATACTACAGACAAGTGTCTTTTAACTATTTGCTCTTTTTATCCCTTGTCCAAGTTTCCTTTTAATTGTTCTTACAAAAATCTAAATTTGTGAAACTCAGTTTTAATGGTTGTAGTTTTGCTAGTTAACACCACTCCCTTCTAGTGAAAGAAAAAGGAAGTGACAGACAAATTGTAACTGGGCTCACAGGTTTTGCAATTTAGAATTAAGGACAAAGAACTTGTAATTGGACTCTTTGGAAGTGGAGTTTGCTTTTAGTATTTTGATATCTTTCTGATTGACTAATGACTATTACGATTAAAGGATTATGATCTTTATCTCGATCAACCTAGGATAATTTTCTTTGTTGCGGGTTATTTTATCATTTTGGTTCTTTGGTAAAACTTGGAACCATTATTTCAATGATTAAAGTCCCATTTAAGTTTACAGGTTTTTTGTTAAAAAGAGGGGTTTATTCTTCTGAGAGTTTACTTAAACATGACAGGATAAATGCACGTATGTACTCAATTTCCTTTTCTGGATTCCTCGACTTTGTAACTTCCTCTGACCATCTTTGTTCTTAGCAACAGGTAATAAATTTCTTTGTTGGTCTGTTGGTTTTGCGGTTGCTAGAGCAAATTGGACCATTAATCCTCAGTACAATCTTTGCCACCTTTTGTTTGTTGAGGAGCAATCTTCGTGAGGAAAAACATTACGGAGACTAAAGGAAAATCACTACAAGAAATTGAGATTGTGCTTCTGCCACCAGAATAGAGGAATATCCATTGCGAACACACTACCATGAGCATAAATTTTATTTGACTATTCAAATTTTATTTTCTTTCAATACATTAGGTTCTGTAGGACATTCTAGCCCCTTTTCTCAGTGTCCAGGTTTAGCTTTACATGATATGAATACGGTCTATGACTCCATGTTTTATATCCATTTTCTAGATCAAATACAGGACATAATTGAAAACTTGATTAGCCTACTTTACTAACATATATGAAGATTGGCTCCATTACTACTAACATATTATTTAGATGGAAGCCTTAGAGTAAAGCAGAGTGATGCAATGTCTATTTGAATTTCCTAACCATATAATTTTGCAGGGCAATAGAGATTCAACAATTTCATCATTCACATTTCCAAGTTCTGATCTGAAACCATAAAAGAGTTTCCTAAATGCAGTTGTAGCTGGATAATCCAATGAAAGAACATGGTCGTTAGGTAGGTGCTCATTTGGAAGGCCTCTGTATATTGTAAAGATTAACCCTTATCCTCTATCAAAGTTTCGAATTTAAGGGATATCTGATATAAGCTGTCCTTGGTAATTTATATTGTGCAATTACAATTATGTATTAAATAAAACCAAGGAAATACGAACATAAAATGGACTGTAACTTGTACATGACATTAGTTAAGTATTGGAGATCAAGATCCGAAGGTTTCACATCTCAATCTTGCCGCTGAGTCATGACTTTACTGGCATTTTAAGATCCTCTTTTGCATGTTGATGGTGATTACTAATTTGATAATTAAATATGCAGTAATAATCATAAGATCACAATGATTTTTTTTTTTTTTTGAACAGCAAACATACTATTATTAATTAATAAGCAGAATACAAGGGATACTCCAAACCCATGCACATCAAAAAATTAACGCAAGATGTCGACACCACAGAAAAAGTGTCGACACTACACCCGTGTCGAGAAATCTCCTCTCTTTTGCATTCTCAAGAAATCTCCCTGTTTAGGACCACAATCCACACCCGACACACACATTGACCCACCAGCTATTGATCATGCATTGACTATAGCTGAACCCACTGCAGTCAATGATTGCTCAATAATCCTACATGAGTCCCCATAACATAGCATCTAATCCTTCGAAGCAAAACTCAAATAGCCTTCCACCTATCAGCATTACCCTCCCGCCCACATATTATTTATATGGTACACTTCTTTTCCTAAGGCCATCTTCCAAGCATGCCACTGGATTAAGAAACCAATCCGTTAAAGTGAAGGCGTTCCTTTCTTTTTTTGCTGTGATCCAATGGAACGATTTTAATTGGATTAGTTCTAGCAGCTTCTCCCTGCTAATCTCTTTGCCTTGGAATGTTTTTTGATTTCGAGCCAGCCACACTGTCCACACAAGAGAATTCCAAATGCAATCCCACCCTTCTCTGACACCTTTCTCTTTTAGTTCTCTTCCAGTCACTTGAAAGGTATTCCAGCAATCCGCTCCCAAAGTAACATTAATATCCCACCATTTTGCACAAGCCCTCCATATCCATCGGACCATGCTTTGAATCCTCTTCTTCCTCACCACAAAATCCGCATTTGCAATCTTGATTGTCTTTGATGATCCCTCTTGTCAACAGATTCATCTTAGTTGGAATTCTGTCAAGTAGTAATTGCCAGTTGAATACTGAAATTTTGCTTGGCAGAACAGAGTTCCAGATTCTACTGAAGGCTGTAATTTCCATTGCTACCCTCCCCTCCTTCGTCAATATTGAATATGCTGATTTTGTTGAGTATTGGCCATCCTTGTTGTGTATCCACTCCCAACTATCCATGCATCCTTGTGACAGTTGCACATTTTGAATCGAGTTGTGTAATTCCATTGCCTCCTCTTTTTCCCATTCGAACAGATTCCTTCTCCAAGTTAAATTCCACTCCCACAAACCGTTAATTCTACTTCCCATTTCACTGCACATCTTCGTCTTATCTATAGCTAGCAAGTACAATCTTGGAAACATATTAGCTAGACTCTCTTCTCCCTTCCATTTGTCCCACCAGAAGCTGATCGTATTACCCTCCCCAATCTTAACCCTGAATCCCTCTTTTAGCCATCCATTGCTTTCCCCATCCATTGCATTTATACCACACACATCCCTCCACCAAGTTGATCCTACACCTCTACTTTCGTCTATCCAGTCCTGCCAATGCCCCCCTCCCTTTCCATATTTTGCAACAATAATTTTTTTCCACATGCCCTCTCCATTTTCTGCAAGCCTTCCCCACCATTTTCCCATCAATGCCAAATTGAATTTCCTCAAGTCCCTCACTCCTAAACCTCCTTCCCCTTTTTTTTTACACACTTTATCCCAGCCAATCCAATTTATTTTCCTCTCATCTCCCTTCCCCCCCCATAAAAAACTTCTACGCAATTTATCAATGGAATGGATTATATCTTTTGGGATAACATAGATAGACTTCAAAAATACTGGCAGACTTGACAGCACTGAATTGATGAGTGTGATGCGGCCTCCCATAGATAGATACCGTCCCCTCCAGCTGGCTAGCTTCTTTCTAATATACTCGACCATCGGCTGCCACATAGCTCTTCTTCTGTGATTCCCTCCGATTGGTATTCCCAAATACTTAAATGGCAGTTTCCCCTCCTTACAGCACAACTGAAATGCCATTTTAGCACACCAATTTTGATCAACTCCCACACCGATCAACTGGCTCTTCCTGAAATTAATCTTCAATCCCGAGGCTAACTCAAATGTCCTCATAATACATTTGATCACCCAAATGTTGTCTTCCGTTGCATCTCCAAAGAAGATTGTGTCATCCGCGAATTGAAGATGCGTGACCATTACATCTCCGCTCCCAATTTCCACTCCTTTGTACCTCCCCTTTTCCATTGCCGATGCCACTAGTCCATTCAAACCCTCTGTCACTATCAAGAATAAGAACGGGGATAATGGATCTCCTTGGCGAATGCCTTTATTAACTGGGAATTGGTTCGTCGGACTGCCATTGACAAGAATAGACACCGAGCTCGATTCCAAGCACTCCTGAATCCATTTCCTCCATGTTGCACATAATCCCATCCTCGTCATCATATATTCTATGAATTCCCAACATACCTTGTCGTAGGCTTTCTTGAAGTCGACTTTAAATAGAAATCCCTTCTTCTTTTTCCTCTTGACATCATCAATAACCTCATTTGCAATCACTGCTCCGTCCACTAAATGCCTTCCTTCTATAAAAGCCATCTGCTGCTTCCCAATCACCTTTGGCAGCACCTTCCGCAAACGATTTACTAGAAGCTTTGCAATGATTTTGTATGAGACTCCTATCAAGGAAATTGGCCTATATTCCTCAATTGCTTATGGATTTTGGGATTTTGGAATTAACACAATAAAGGAAACATTTGACCCTTTGACCATTCTACCATGCTGTTGGAACTCCTGAACAAAGTTGACAATATCAGCTTTTATAACATCCCACATTGACATGATGAATCTGAGGTTGAATCCGTCTGGTCCTGGTGATTTGGAAGGGTCACAGTTCCATATTGCTTCTTTAATTTCCTGTTCCGAGAAAGCAGCCGTGAGGAGCTCATTATCAGCCTTTGTGATTTGCCTAAAGCATATTCCATCTAGCTTCGGTCTCCTCCATTTTTCTTTTGTGAACAAGTCTTGGAAGTATTTAGCAATCTCTCTTTTTAATACCTCCACTCCTGTATACTGCTCCCCATTTATCCGGACACTATTAATCTCATTCTTGCTCCATCTTCCCTTGATGCTTCTATGAAAGAATTTTGTGTTCGCGTCACCTTCCTTCAGCCACTGCTTTCTTGATTTTTGTTGACTCATCCTCTCCTTAATTTTTAAATTCTCCCACAGTTCAATAAAACTTTTCCTCCTCAACTCTACGTCATTATCTGACAACTGGTGCTGCTCTCCTTTCTCATCAACAGCAGCAATCACTAACTCTGCATTCCTTATTCTTTCATCCATCTCCCTGTTGGTTTTACCACTCCACTCCTTTAGTGCCTTCTTTGTTCTTTTCAACTTCTCTTTAATTTTAAATCCATACCAGCCGTCCACCTCGTTGTCACACCATGCACTCTTAATCACCTCCTTACATCCCGATTGATCCAGCCAAGCATCAAAAAATCTGAACGGTTTTGGACCCCAGTCGACCTGCTCATTTTTTATCATTATAGGGCAGTGATCTGATACATTCCTCCTCAACCCCCACTGTTTCAAATCGCTCCACTTTGATAACCATTCTTCTGAAAACAGAAATCTATCAATCCTACTCATTTGATTCCCATTTGAATTATACCAGGTATATTTCCTCCCTATTAAAGGCAAATCAACCAAATCACTGTTATGGATAAAGGCATCAAACTCCCTCATTTCATTGGACACCATCTTACAACCTGCTCTTTCCTCAACCCTCCTTACAGCGTTAAAATCCCCTGTTAAGCACCACATCCCCCTTCTATTAATAATAAGATTTTGCAGCTCCTCCCATAAGGCCCTTTTTTTTGCAATTTGACACGGAGAATAGATGTTTATTATGAACACCGGTGTCTCCTCTAGTCCCCACATTCCAAACACCCCTAAATAATTTTCACCTTCTAAGGTCTCTTTCTTCTTCAGCATTTTAGTGTCCCAAATACATATCAAACCTCCGGACATTCCATTAGAAGCTTTAGCAACCCAATCCATATCCTCAGACCCCCATAAAGATCTACATATTTTTCTATCTACTGCGTCCATCTTGGTTTCTTGAACTGCTAGAAATTGAACTTTTTCTTTGACAACTAACTCCCTAATCTGTGATTTCTTCCCTACCACTCCAAGCCCCCTAATATTAAATGACATATAAATCATTGGGTGCATCACATACCTTCCCACCATCTTCAACCTCTCGTTTTACCATACTCCTTTTTGATCTTCGATCTCTGTCCTCCATCTCCTCAATTCGTTGAATCACCTCATTGTCATTCTCCGCCTCCGCCCCTAGTTGCGTCGCCAAGTCCCAAGTCTCCTTTGCAAGTTGGGATTGCCATTGTTTCTTCAACGCCCTGTTGCAATTGTTTATCTCACTGTCCCCTATTGAATCTCCAGCAACCTTCCCTTCCTGGTTCGGTATGAAGATTGGTTCTGGTCTCTCATCTATCTGCTGCGCAATCTTCTTCTTTCTTCCTCTTTTTTTTTTCCGTCGACGCCTCTCTATTTCTGGGTTGCGAATACATCGAGATGCACCTTCTGACCTTCCTTTTTCCAGTTTTTGAGTTGATCTCCTCCAGTTGTTTCTCGATCCATTCTTCTATTCGGTTTCTCTCTGCTTCGTGGCCCTTCCAGAATGCATCTTCTTCTTCATCGCCCTTCCCTTCTGCAGATTTTCCAGTTCCCAACATGGCTCTGTTTTGGACTGTAATTGGGTTCTCTATTAAAGTTTCTTTTTGGGCCATATCCACATTTGTGGACTCCATTGCCATTGGATTTTCTCCCTTCGAAGTGGGCCTGGAACCCGAATCAGTGGGCTTCATTTTATTGGAATAATCTTCTGTTTTTGATTCTCCAATTACCGAACCATTGGCCTGCACCGTCTGACCTGTAGCCACGTCCCTTGACCGCCTACTTCTTACACATACATTTGAAATTTGAATTTTCTCCAGGTTGTCACCAACAGCTTCTGCACAATCCCCTACTTTCTTGCTGGATTGGACTTCATTTCTTCTTTCTTCATCTCTCTTACGTCCTATTACGTCATCATCTTCTTCAGTTGAACAACCGGCTGAAACCTTCTCCTTCCTCCTTCCACCTTCCTCGTCCTGCATCTCCGATTCTGAACCGATGGACCATGTTTCATAATCCTCAGATTCACTACTAAAGGAAGGCCTAAAATCTTGCTTCAAAGAGAAGAAGCAGTTAGTGTATTCCTCCTCTGTGAATTTCAGTTTGAACAAGCTTCCATTGATTTTGATTTCCCTTGTAACATTGATTGTCTCCATAATTGACGAAGAAATCAGAAATCTAGCAATGTCAAACCTCACCTTCTTGCTTGTACTGTCATCCAAGCAAATAAATTTGCCCCATGAACTACCCATGGTTGAAAAGAATTCACTTCCCCAGACATTCAGTGGTGCTCCTTGACACCTTATCCACACAAATCTCTCTTTTGCTGTCATCTGTGGTGTCCATGGCCTCACTTCTTCAAACCAACGCCTCAGCCAATCCGAAGCCATTTCAACTAAGTCCTTCACTTCCTCCTTGTCCTGTCCAGATAACAGAACCATTTTGCCACCCATTACTCGGATTTGATAAGAAAAATACCCCTCCATATAGAATTTTTCTTGTAGGTTGCGAATCATCTCCACAAAGTGCACTATTC